GTATAACGATGCATGCCTGACCTAATGATACACACCCGTTGTCTCTCAGTCCGGGACCCATGGAGGACATATCTGTCCATGCATCCAGCGCGGCGAGCGATACGATCCTCGATAATAGTAACCATCGCGGCACGATACGTCCCTCGAAATATAGTATCCATCGCGGCGCGCGATACATCCCTCGAAATGGTGCATCCTCTTTAATTTCTTATTATTTCTCAATGCACATAGCACTTGTCACAACCATGTTTCAGAACAATGCAATAACATGTTCACACAAATAATGAGGAGATGACTATTTTCATAACATTGCACAATTCACAACAACACAATCATGATACAACATCAATAATGATTCAACAAGCCTTTCAAACCATTCTCAACACATCACACAAACAATTTATCACATTGTCTTTTATTACCCCTTTTTCATCATTAGAATTAATCAATGTGGACAAGTCAACCCATCACCAAGTCTCATTACCCTCAAACACATAGTACAAGGCAATACACGAATTACATACACTTAACAAGGGTTTAGAAATCCACTTGCCTCAAATAGTCGAACAATCACTCCGGCACTTGAGCCTTTCCCTTTCGTTGGACCTCCAAATCAATACAATATATTCAAATAAATGACCACGATAAGATTTCGAAACTAACAACATTCATTTTACTCTATGTCCAACTAGACCCAAGAACTCATTCAAACCTAAAATTAAATTCCTAAATCTTGATGTCAATTAACATGTCAACTCATATTTTCAAATTTCAAGTCTAAGATTATGCCTCAATTTCGTTAAATAACATAAATCAAATGATATTCATATAATATAGTATCTCTAAAATTTAAGTACATCACACCAATACGCTGGAACATGGATCATAATGTGATTACCATGAAGAACTTTGCAACTCCAAAATCAATAGAAATCAGTAGCCTCTAATGTCAAAATAATATTTTAACCCATATTACTTCCATTCAACTATCACTGTCAATGCTAATCAAGCATATTTTACTATCACTGCCAATCATTGTCTTATCATTGGCAATGATTGTGTCCCTCAGTTTATTTATTTTTATTATCCTCGGTCACAAAGCACGGACAATTCACTCAATTTGCAACAATTCACCTCTTAATTCTTCAATCCAATAATATTATAATACTAATTCCTATATGCAACAATAATATAAGTAGACACCATTTGAAACTCACTTGAATATTACCTAAAGTTTCGTCACCCTTTTCCGGCACCGCAACAATAATTTTGTTCGACAACGGTTTCTCCCCTGCTACACTTTGATCGGTCGCTGATGAGTCCTCTTCGAGAGGCTAACTGTTTTTCTTTTAATTGATTAGGCAAATAATTATGACCCACTGAATAATTAAATAAATGTTAAATCTCACTAGCTTATATTATTAGTATATATATATGAACTTGGCCCATTAATCATCAACTAAATAAATTGTTTATTTAATAAATACCCACCAACTAAATAACTGTAGTTACACTAATAGTTCAAGATTTTCAAACCAACTTCACTGACTAATAAAAAAAAAGACTCGAGGCAACTATCGAGATGGGTAAAACAGTAATTTTATAAAAATTTCTAAAAATGACTTTCCTGGTCATTACAGATACAGTAAGACAAACAAATCAGTTGTAAATGGTGAAACAAGAAATATAATGAGAAATTGCATGTTAATGGGTTATCAATTTATCAACAACTCAAGACTAAAAATCAATACCAAACCGATAACCCGATATTTTTTTTTATAAAACCATTAAAATCCCGTTAACCCAATAGCAATGACCCCATAACATTTTTTCGGTTCAATTTTTGCACATTACATCAGTAGACAAAGAATTGGGATGGATCCAACTCAAATACCATGTAAAGAAGAATCTTAAATTTAACTTAATTCCAAAAATTATTTTGAATTATTCAAGTCTATATAAAGAGATCAATTTCTTATTTTGTGTGATTGGAGTTAGAACATATTCTGTTTCTAAGAGGGCTTTTAGGCCAAACCGGCCTGTATTTCATTAGTATGCGGACTGAAATAAACCATGTGTTAAACTAGCAGCTGGTGTAAAATAGTAATTTTTATGCAGGGGCGGAAACACCTTGTACTAAGGGGGTTTCGATAGAAAATTATATCATCTATACATGGTTAAAATAATTTTTTATGTATATATAGTAGATGTCGAACCCCCTTCGACTACTTCGTATGTCTATTTCTACAAATTTTGAACCCCCTTATTGAAAATTCTGACTCCATCACTATTTTTATTTGCATGATTAGCATATATATAATACGTATACATTTTCACTCATTATATGGTTATAATGATATGAACCAGTGTCAAATAAACCAGGTAAATTCAAAATTTAAATTTAATGGGTCTAATGTTCTATTTTTTAAAAAAACAATTGAGTTTAATTTTAATATTTATAATACATTTTTGATATTTTCACACACTATCTTTTTGGTATTATAAGAATCGACGAAGTTATTATTTATTATTTGACTATCTTTACTTTTTTACTATTAGTATTTATCTTTTTTCAATATTTTTATCATAGCTTATTTACTTCTTTTTTTTTTAAAAAAAAAAACCTTATTTTGAAAATCATTTTTCTTAAGTTGAGTATTTACCGAAAGTAACCTCCAAAGTCCTAACATACAAAAGTAGGAATAACATTTTTATATATTTCATCATCTTGAATTTCACTCGTAAAATTATACTGATACGTTGTTATATTGGGGAGGTGGGACCAAGTTCTAGAATTTCTTTCCCCTTCAAGTCTATAATGAACTTTTCTCCAGTAACTTTTAGAATCTTGTACTTATAATCATGTATTATATTATAATATATCAAATATGATATTAACATTTTTCATAGAGTTGATGGGTTGAAATCAGATGAGGTACCACAACCAAATAGGATGACTAAATTATTATTATTATTATTATTATTATTATTATTATTATAAAGCTTAGTCGAGTGCGTTGTCTCAGGTCAATCGAACAACAATATTGTTAATGCTTGTGCAGAAAAATGATGTAACAATAATATAAGTTAGAATCTATTAGCACAATTTTTCACTTCAGTAAGCTCGTGTTTGTCTTATTTGTCAAGTTATTAATCTCAACTTTTATGATCAGATAATTGTAAAGTTTAGATGATTTGTAAGTATAATTTTTATTTTATTTTTTAAAAAGCTAATAAATAGACGATAGATATATAGTTTTGAAATTAATCAAATTAATTTATTAAAATAAACAAGACAATGTATATATATATATATTTATTTTATAAGCACAAGCTTAAGTCTCACTACTCTATTCTCCTTCTTTTTTAGTTGAAAAGAATATTATGTTTTTATATTAAAAACCAATTTAACTTTTTTTTTTAAAACAAAAAACTTAACAAATTTATTTTAAAATCATTTTTTAGATCTATAATGCGACATAAATTAAGGACGAAAGAGATGCAAAAAAACGAAGGGTCAAGAAACGATCCAAGGTACCAATGTAGTTGTAGATTTTGTGGTACTCGTCATTGCTTAGCACATTAAATATGTCAATTTCTATTTTTGTTCGTGTGCTTTTAACTCCTCCCATCCATTTTTAGTAGTGGACTATAAATTAAAAGCATAATATATAAAAAAATCTTTTAATTTCAGTTTTGATTAACGTAATTTTATATGTGAATAAATAAATATTTAAATTTGTATAAAACTGAATAAATAGACACACACATCCAACATAGCATAATATATCACGTATGATGTGAATTGACATGTAGGATGTGTGTGTGTATGTCTACTTATATTCAAGTTTATATAAGTTTAAGTATTTATTTGTGCACACCCAAACTTAGAGACATATAGATGTCAATCAAGGCCAAGTTAAATGATATGTTAATGTGTTATGCCAAAGATATATGTTAATTTTAATTTTAACTTTAAACCATTAAGGGGTCGTTTGGTACAAACATTGATAATGTAGGGATTAGTAACGCAGAGATTAGTAGTGCAAACATTATTTTTTATCAAGTGTTTGGTTCATTGATTTCCACTTGATCTTGTGTTTAATTTAAAACTCTACAAAAATTTATTTCCTATTATACCCTTGTGCTATTATGAGATTGTTTATTTCATGTAATTGGGTCAAGGTAGATAACCGTCGGACAATATTTTTTTATTTTGTAGGATTATCTATTCCATTTAACTAGTTAAGTTATATATATTAGTTTTAAGGTGTGGTATACCACTAAGGAGATCCTTGATGGCACGGTATATTTCTAATTTTTTGTTGGTCAAATATATCTTAAACTTAAGATAGATTTAAGTCTACTTAAATTGTTCAATACCTAAAGCTTATAAAAAAAAAACAAATAACTCAAGTGGTTAATCGATAAACTACCTTGAATAAAAAAAATTAAAAAACATATTAGTGAAATCATTAAATTACACTAAATGGATTTGGAGATTTAAAAAGAACATTTTTAACCAATTCAATAAAAATAAAAAGGAAATTAAATTACAAAAAAAAAACTTAGAAAAAGGAATAAGGGGATAGTTTGGATTAGTTATTCCTTCATTTTCTAGGGATAAGATAAGATCACATATGATGGATAAACAATCCATGAATTAAATTAAATAAAGTAATCAAATAATGTATTAGATGAACTAAATTTTAATCCATGTACTATTTCATTTAATATCACCTACCAAACGGTCCTAATATGTTTATCCCGCTAAAAGTGAGCCACAGGCGGCATAAGAAACTGAGAATCAGGGCATTGCTTCACTGTAATAACAAAGGCATTGTGCCGTGTGTTCCACTTCAGCTAACTGCTAAGTCCATAAAACAAAAAAGGAAAATTGAATATAGATAGAGAAGAAAAAAATGAAAGCAAATACGAGTGGTAGGTGAATAACGACACCTATAATACAACTCTCTATCTCTCTCTAAAATTTTGTGATGAATATGGATTCGATTCTCTGTGATGAACTTCTCCAAGAAATATTCCGCCGCCTTCCTCCGTCGTCCGCCGCCGCTGTTTCATTAGTCTGTAAGCGGTGGCTTCATCTTCTTCGCTCTTCAACTACTTCTCTTTCTATCTGTTTAATTGAACCCCCTTTTATCCCTCTTTTCTCCTCTTTTCTCAGTTTTCATCCTTTTTTGTCTACTGTTTCTGTTACCATTACACCTACAGTAGATTCCTCCGATCAATTGCTTAATTCCGTTGCTTCTTCTTGCCCTAATCTCCGCCATCTCCGATTCTTGAATGGTCCTGTTTCTACTTTATCTCTGTTTTCTCTTTCTGTTTCTTGCCCTAATCTTGTTTCTCTTGCTGTAACTCTTTTTAGACCCCTTTCTTTTCTCTGGGTACCCCCTTTTGGGTGTCTTAAAGAACTCTCAATTTACCCAGCTGGAAATTCAGGGGAATTTGATTATGGTGACTTTTATGGTTCTTGTGAGTTGAATTTGGAGAGTCTTTTGTTGACTGGAATTAAATCAGGGGATAAGGGGGTTGGTTTTTTATGGAGGAATTGCAAAAAGGTGACAACTTTGAAGCTGATAAGCTGTGAAGAGGTTGGTGATCAAGGTTCTTTTTTAGGATTTCTTCAGTGTTTAGAGGGTCTTCAAGAATTGGAATTGAGAACTTGTAGGACAATTGCTGATGGGGTTTTGTTGAAATTGGCTGAGAATTGTGATATGTTGAACTCTTTGTTGGTCTATGATGGTGGTAGTAAAGAGGGGTTGTTTCATTTCTTGACCCAAAGCAAATGTGGTAATTTGCAGAATCTTGATTTAAGGTTGCCTCTTGATCTTGACAACAATCATTTGACAGCTGCTGCTGAAAATTTAGGGAGTTTGAGGAGTTTAAGGCTTCAAAGTTGCTGTCTTGTTACTGGTGAAGGGCTAAAGATTCTTGGAAATGCTATGGCTGATGGGCTTGAAGAATTGGCTTTGATAAACTGTGATGTAGTGGAAAGAGAATCAGGTTTGTTGACTACATTAGGACAAGATTTGAAAAGATTAAGGAAATTAGACTTGTCTTTTAATGACATGTTACTTGATAAAGAACTGATATCAATGCTAGTATCTTGCAACAATCTGAATGAATTGAAGGTAAGGGGTTGCAAAAAGTTGACAAATTTATCTATGGTTTCATTGACCAAGTGTTGCAAGAAATTACAAAGTGTTGATGTAATGTATTGTTGTGGGATTGAGGCACATGGTGTTGAGTTATTTGTGTTGAATTCACCAAAGTTGAGACTGTTACAAGTTGAGGAAAATAAGGTTTCTGATGTGGCTAGGACATGGGCATCAAATAAATTCATTGAAGTTGTTCCTTGAAAATTGATTTAGCGTGTTTATTGTTCATAACAAATGCTGAAAAAGGTAACATTTGATGCTTGTTATTTTGCTGCCACTGTACAGAACATCACAACTAAGATGCTTGTTATTTTGCTGTTTATGGACTCACAAGTATTAAGATGCTTGTTATTTTACTGTTTATGGACTCACAAGTATTAAGATGCTTAACTTCAGCTAAGATGGAGTAATAGTGCAGTTGAATTTAAGTACGTAGTTTGCAATTTACTTTGTTCTCACTTGTGTGTTCCATTAAGTATCAAAGGGAGATGCAATTATTTATCACAAACATCTCTTATGTTAATGTAATCCTAATTAAATATCTAGCATTGTCAAAATCATATAAGCAAAACACTCTTTCACGTTCAAGCTCAACTGAAACATGGGCCGAAAGCCCAATGGATTCACCTAAGCTCAAAAGGAACTTCCACAGTTCCACTTATCATATACTATATGATATCTCGGAGACAATGAAATAAACATTTGCAGGTTGAAGCATTATATTATTGTTAGGAGAATTTGTTTGCTGTCTCCAGTTGATTGATATGATACGGTTGTGATTAGTTGGCCCTCCTTTCAAATATTATATTACATGGCTAATAAGTACGTACCAAATTAACATGTTAACAACACATTTATATTAGTATATTACATGGCTAATACGTACCAAATTAACATGTTAACAACAACACATTTGACATAACCCCATTATAAAAATAAAAATATCGAAAATTAAATGCATGTGATTTTTCACTTTTACTTTTTCCTATTATACCTTTTCAACACTAATTACTTATTCCCAAATTATTAATTATGTTTTGAATATGAAATAATGAATCCAAAGCGTCATCGGTGGCGCCACATACGAACTCCCGGGTAACCATTTAATTATACTGAAATAGAATTCCAAAACCTTAAACGAAATTAATTAGAATGTTGTAGTCGTCGACACTGTTGGGACGGAAGGGTCCATTAGCAACATTATGGCTAGCAGCGAGCGTTCAGAACAGGCTGAAGAAATACTATCATTATTCTTCCACTAACATATCCACTAAAATTGGTTCGTTTTCTTTTTAAGTTATACGGAAATTAATACATGCATATGTAATACTAGTAGATTTGATACTCTTATTATAGTTGTTTTCTCAAGTGTTTGATCGATAATACTAATGCTTATTGTTTGAAAGTTATGTCTAGAGCTCATCATGTTTCCGGCAGTGCCCATTTCCTGTTTTAATACCTTTTTCTGTTTCATTTTCATTAGTAATAACACATATTTTGATTGATCAGGTTTATCTTTTGCAATTTATATTTGCAGGGAATTCTAGATTTATTGCAACAACATTTTGATTTTTACAGGGTATATGGAAGAGTTTGTCGAAATCGGGTGAAGTTTCTGAATTAGGTGCCATGTCTATGGAGACGAAGTAAGGATCTAATTGACTGTAGATGTAGATTGTTTTCCGATTATTTCCAAGTTTTGAATGTATGTCTTTTTTTCCGTTCAAATGCTGCTGCTTCTTCCCCTAAGAATCAGACAGCACAAAATCAAGGGACTGTTCGTGATGACATTCCTCAAGATATTCCAGAAATTGAAATCATTCGTGATCATGTTCCCTTATGGCCAGACCACCGTAATGATGTGATAAAAATCAAACCTCTTTTTTATCTAATATCTAATACAATCAAACCTCTCTATAACAGCGTCGTACGTTCCGGTATGTTTTGGCTACTATAGCAAAATAATGCTGATATAGAGAATAACATATCATGAAAGTTCGATCGGTTCCACAGAAAGCATGTATATTATAGTGAAATGTCGCTATAGAGAGCTGGTTTGAGACCACTAACTCAGCTGTTGTAAATTTGTGATGATCTCAGCAACATCTACAAGGAAGACTTCATTTCAGCAAAAGTCAAGATGGCTTCCTCACAGAAGGATCATGTAGAACTCAGTGGTAACCGCTCCCCTCCACCTAGGAATGATCTGGGGATTGAAATCGAAAGACTACGTGGTAATCAAGACCTTGCACACACCGATTTGTTGTCGCCTTCACCAAATAAATTCATTTCCTCTCCACCAAGGTCCATGCCTTCCCCAAGCAGAAGAGATGATTTCACTCCTGTCACAGCACCTACGGAAAGAGGGGTGCTCCCCACACCTGACCTAGCAACATCTATTGGACATGTTGGTTCTGATATGGAGACCCCATCAACATGGTACGAAGAGGGACTAGGTTTCGAGATTACTGTTCTGTCTGATATTCCTGAATTTGATAATTTTGCTGGGGTATGTTTATCTAGAGTAATCTCATTAGCTCTAGAGTTTCATTTTTTACTTATTGTTGAAGACATATATTGTGAAGAAAGAGTTCTAACTTTTGATGTGAGTGAACGCTTATGAAGACTTTATTAAATTATTAAGCCAAAATGACATCTAAACTTACTTTACCTGTTTTTCATCTGATGCATGATCAAGATGACGACACTCCTATTGGTGAGCTAAGATTCTCTATTCCGATAGTGTTGGTCAATTTTATCTTCTATGCCTTTAGCATCGTAAAATTTTACGATTTTGTTGATATAACATGCACCTGAAGTTTGTGTTTCATATGCTAAAGCAGGATTTCGAGGTACTCCTGAAGTTGGAATGCCAGAGTTTGAGACATTGCCTATTAGAATAAAAATTATTTTCGTAAAATTGGTTTGGTTTGCAGGATATTCCCTTAACGGTATGATGATTGCAGAACCGTGGCTCAATTTTTGCAAGGGCAGTCACCAGTAACCTCCATCTCAGAAGAGACTGGAGACCTCAGCTTAGATAGAATACTAGATGGCAAAAACAGGAAAATACGTGCCTGAATATTTTTCGAGACTCTGGTAAGTCCTCTGCTAATTTTTTCCATGATTAGTTCCTCTTTCTTGGAGATGCAAGTCAATTCTCAAATATTGGGTGTTCTAGAGCCTATGATGCTCGAACTCTCCAAGTGTCAAAAATCCACTCTTTTTGGAGGATTTGACATGCAACTGGCCGCATTTTTTATGAATCCAAGCAACGTAGTCTGGGTGTCTTCTAATATTAGTTATCTCTGGGTGTGATTGAGTTCAGAAAAAAGTGTATATATATACTTTTATCATTTTTTAGTTGCACATAATATGTTTCACTGCTTAACCAATGATCATATTTAGTACTACTATAATATGTATCTATTGTTTGAGCTGGAATCATTTCGTCAGTTCCTTATCCTTTTTGGAAATTGCCTACAGGTGTTGGAGAATTGTGGACTTGTCTCTGTGAATCAAAATGAACCCCATCAATGCAGAGAAGACAACTCGTATGCATTTTGGATTGGTGCTTCAATTTGGCGCCTTTCTTTAGTGTTTTTCTTACAAATCTAAATGCAATCTTCTTCTTTGAAATACAGTGTAAGCTTATACGAAGATGCACCATGGCTTCTAAGTTAAATTTATGAAAACTATTATGTTCATTTTCTTTGGAAAAGCTAGTATTTTCTTATTGCCTCTTTTTTGTACTCTCTTGGAGTAGTATATAAAAAGCTATCTTCTCTAGAAGATACTCTAATTCATAATTGTCCAAGTGTGAGATAGGCTTTAGGGGTGACAAAATTAATTCATACAAATATGATTTGTTTAAATTTAGCATATTAATTAAGTTGACACAAATCTATCTATTTGACATTGCTCGGGATCACATATTTTTTTTTGTGAAAGTCTAATGATATCACGTAAATTAGAAAGAGGAGTACCATAAGGGAAAAAAATAGAGTCGTAGTGTAACACCACCTTTTCCAGGCTCATTGTAGGCGCGAGTTCAAAATATTCTTTTTAAGGTTCCCGCCAGTCGAATTATCAGTCGGGCAGTTCGGGCAGGACAAAATAAATGAAGTGTTTGTTTAACATTATTCATTATTTTTCAAATTTTAATAAAGAATTTGAGTTTGAAATTTCTTCTTAGAAAAGTATTTCAAGTAAAATAATAATGTTCGTATATATTCATTTTATGTATTAAAAAATCTCTATCTCTATTTATTTCTTACAACTTTAAATACAAACAGTATTTTCTTATAATATAACATGAACGAAGTAATAACAATATTGAAAATCGATACTAAATACAAAAGTTGATCCAATTATTTTTCATAACGGAGTATGTAATTTGTTTATTTATAAACATTACTCTTTAATAAGTATGTAATTTGTTTATTTATAAACATTACTCTTTATGTAATTTTGTAATACACACTTCATCCATTTCACTTTATGTGACACTTTTTAAATTTTGAAATTCAAACAAATCTTTTTAAATATTTTCAATTGTCATTTATTATGATTTATAGTATTTTTATATAATTTTTAAATATATAAAATTTTATTTCAATTTTTTTTAAAATTTCATATCTAAATTCACGATAAAAAAAGGTATGAATCTAACTAATTAAGTTCCATAGGATTCTTTGTAGGGGCCATGTGTACATGTTTATCTTTTTTTAATATTTCTTTCACATTTTTCCATGCATATATTTCATTGGATTCCTCCTCTCCTTTATCCAATGTATATATATGCTCATTAATTAATTAATTACTAGAACTGTCTCCCTGAAAATCTTACTTGAACTCATTAATTTTTAATACCTAATATAGAGTATGCCTGCTAGTACAAATAAGAAAAAAAAGAAACTGAACTAAATCTACAAGTATAGAGTAATTTAACAGTTTCTAGAACGTACGTTTTCATTTTTTTATTTTATTTTATTACTAGAGAACAGAGATCGATTTTATTTTTTTTGAAGAGGTTTCACTTTGAGTTTTAAAAATATAAACTTTTTTTAATTCTTGAGTACGGATATATCTTGAGCGACACAAGTTTAATTTTAAATTAATCGAGGCCTTAATAGTAGTTATAATCCAACCAAATTACATTATTTTCTCCATAGGTTATAGGATTATATGATATGATGTTCCTTTCTTCCAGGACACTCAGAAAGTATTATATGTATAGTTTTTTTTTTTAAATTACTCGGTTAAATATATTTCTTAAGAAGTGTGTCAAGTTAAAATGGACGGAGGAGTTGATTTAAATTCCACCACAAATAGCGTTTGAACTTTTGACCTACTCTTCTAGTGATTATAGCCCAATAGTAGTTCTATCTGTATGCTTCAAACCAGGGGATTTTATTATATTTTCAAATAATAATTGGTTTATCAATTTGGTTCATTTTCCCACCTACAACATAAAATATAGTAATAGAGAATTTAAAATTAAAAAACCATATTTTAAGAGTTATTCATATTTCAAAATTTGACTCACCTTGAAAGGGAGAATAGCGGAGTTGTTGTACAGCCTAAGGTCTTTTCCTACAGAGAAAGCAAAAAATTGGATTTGAGAATCAAGGATAGATAGACAAGAGATATATAATTTTTTTTTTGAGTGAACTTTATGCAAAAACACACTTAACTCTCTCCCTGTTTCAATTCAAATGTCATTTTTTAGTCTGCTTTAAAAAAATATGTCCTTTTAATCTAACAAAAAAATTAATTTTAATGTTTTTATGATTTGTTTAAATATATTTTAATACACTTACACATATTTTAATTTTATTTATTTTTTAAACTCCGTATCTCGATAAATAAATTATGATGCACAAAGATATTGGGCCATGAAAGATAAGAGTTTGAAGTATGTATAGGCATTATTGGAGAGAGATAGAAACCTTAGTATTAAATATGTCTAAACACAATAATAGAGCATTTATTGTACGAACCATAATAAGTTGATTTAATTGTAAGAGTGTTCGTATGAATCACTCATCTCTTTTATTACTATCACTGCACTCATTGAAAATAGTAAAAGTAACTTTGAAATTTCGCACGATATATAAGCATGACCCTTAATTTGGCTTTAATTGATAATTATGACTTTTAACTTTGAATGTGCATAAATAGACACTTAAACGTATATAAAATTGAACAAATACTCTACTATTCTATTCATAATTAAAAAATTCAAATTTAAATCCTGTTTGATATGAAGTTATTTTTGTTAGAAAGTTTTTTATCTTGATATAAGATATTTTTGATACCTTTAGTATGTGCTTCATCAGTCAAATTCAAATTTAATAAGCTTCAATATAAATATTGAATATTACTTTCTTCCTTCATTTTTACTTGTCAATTATATTAAACTATATTTTCACTTATATTTGTTACTTTAGCATATTAAGAAAAAAAATATTATTATTTTTATGTTTTATTCAACATTATTTACTTAATTTTAAAATAATTTTCTATAACTTAAAGATTATACATCAATTAATATGAACATTGTAAAACTCAAAATGAATCGATACGGAGTATTAATTAAGAAGATTAAGATAAGTGTAGTACTCTTTGTCTTATTAATTAAGAAATATTAATTAAATTTATCCTATATTACCATTGTAATTAATTCTTTTTGAAGTGTTTGAATTTATTTGTAAATTACTAAAAAAAAAAAAATTATGTATTTTATTTATGATTTCCTAAATACTTATTAAAAAAAAAATCAAACTGTGGATTCTTACGGCTGCATCTGCCATGTACTGTTTCCCACAAGGTTACAAAAGGGGGGGAATTGGCATTTCCCTTATCCAAAAGGGTAACTTTAAAGAATCCAATGAAATTATATTGAATTCAACTCTCCATTTTAATTAGTGGGATTTTGTTGCCTTTTAATTGATGGAACTACCTTTTTTAATTAATTAGAGGAACTTTGTTGAAAATTAATTCTTTTATTTTTTATTTTTTATTTTCTAAACTATGCTGATTCCTAGAAAACTTTATGTTAAACATTTATTTTTGGTTGAGGGAGAACTTCCTCCTCATATTCCACTTTCCTTCGCTCCCTTTTATTAATTAAGTCCACCAAAAATAAAATTTTCCCTTTTTTACTTATCTATTTTAATAAATTAAGATTTTATTTTTTTAAAAAAAATATTATGAAAATATTAGTAGTCAAATTAAAACTTCCAGATTTAAACCTTGAGAATATATTATAAAGTTTTTAGTATGAAATATATTTTGTTAGAAAGTATATTTTATATCACATGAATCTAAATTATTAGTTCGACAACAAATTTTTAATGTAGAATGGATAATTTTTTTTAAAAAAACAACATAGTTTAAAGGGATTATAGTTTGGAATTAATTAATAACATATCCAAGATATTTGAAATGCAATATTGATCAAACCAAAGGCAAAATTTAATTTCTCTATCAAAAGCAATGAATTCAAATATGTACTAAAAAATATAGTAACCCCACATAGGATTCTCAAACAGTACCATCTTCTTTTAATAACCAGTGAGGAGGAATTGGATTTGTCAAATACAGGTTTCAGGTTCAGTAGGGGGCCGCGAAGGGTAGGGGTCGGATCTAGAGGATAGCGAGGAGGTCACTTGAATCTTATTAACAAAAAATTATGGTATGTTAAAGTACTTTAAAATATTTCTTGTACATATATATGAAGATCGGACTTAAAAAACGTACACCATAGAAATAAAAAAATTATTACAACATAAAAATCTCTGATTTTCTTGCTTCATTAAGTAAAAGAATTGTATTTTTTCATCATAATTGATTTGTAAAATATTATAATTTATGATACTTTTCGTATAACTCAAATAAGAAAGAAAAAAACAGAGCAAAATATCAAATAGAAGACCATAATACTGAGAATTTTCTTAGTTTTATAGATAGAAACTGAACTAAACTAGCTTAATCTACTGACACAATATCTAGTATTCTGTATATTACATTATCATTATCTAAATCTCAAAAACCTAAACTACTACTAATAAAACTTAAGAAGAAGAAAAAAAACAGAACAAGAGCAAAAGGGCCTCTTTTTGGCCCCTGTACTAATTCTTGTTTAATAATTTTCCCTCTCCACATGTCGAATAATAAATACTAATTCAAGATCTGGTGGATTAAAGAACTCTCTAGCACCATTATAATGACATGTTGATACTGGCCGGCGTTTCGACGGAGCCGGTGGACATGGTAGCTTTTCCGGTATCCTTGAATCTCTTGTTGTCGGAGTTGAACTCTTTTCTACTTCGTCTTCAGATTCTTCTTCTCCTCTGTTTGGTTTTGTGGATATTGATTTCAGTTTATTAGGCCTAAACGCTATTCCAGCAATTACCCACATTTTGTTTTCTTCTTTGCTTCCATCCACTAATTGATGTTTTTTCGAAAAACCCATTGATAACCCAAAACAATACGTGTAGTCTCGAAAAAGATATGAACTTTGTAAACTAGAATGAATCAAAAGGGTCTTTCTTGTTTGTTTGTTTTCTACTAAGGAAGAAGAGAAAAAAGGGTGGGTATAAATATGAAAGACTTTGAATGAGGGAAAAAGAAGAGAAGGCGGCAAAATAAAGGGCAGATTTTATAAACAGAAGACGGTAGGAAAAAAAACCTAATACTACTAGTATATATAATCATATACTCATAAAGAATATTGTGTGATTTTTTTTTTTGGGATACCCGTATAATTTCGGGTAATGGGCAGCTCAAATCTAATGAAAATTTTAGATTTTGGCGCCAGAATTTCATGATTTTGGGGCAACGGCTCTCCTTCCCGCCTATATTGAGGAAATGACACATATATACAACTAATAGTTATAATTAGCAATAAATAGCCCAACAATAATTAGAATTTAATAGACAAATAAAAAATTAGCACAAAATGGCCCAAATTAATAAATGACATTTTAATTAAAAAAAAATTGTTTTCCTCGTATAACCAATCATCACTAAACAACAAAAATAACGGAAACATCAAAAATTATATATACAATACGTAACCATCTAAAAACGTAAATTATGTATTTTCATATGTTTTTTTATTCGTTATTTGATAAAAAAAAAATCCAATTGTATGCTTGATGATTGTATATAGGTAAAAGAATGGTGTATTCATTCACTTAGTATATTAGTATACAATTATAGCTATGTTATCCCTTCCAGTGTATACATATTAAAAAATCAAACACTTCATGTATGCATTGCATTCATGTATACACATTCGTGTATTCATTCCCTCAAAATTTGTATACATTTCAGATTCTTTATTCAGTGTGTAAATGAAGATTGCACATTAAATTTAAAATGCTTAATAGCAAACACACAAGTTGAATCGGATAACGAGAAGAACTTACATGGCTAAAATTTAGAGTCGTGGATGGAGAATCCACAAAATTAGAATGAGAATCCTTTTTTTTATGAATAATTCTAGGGATAACTTTCTTAAACATGACAATTGATACCTACAATCAATTATTGATATGTAAGTTTTTGCCTAAATTAGATATACCTTAAATTTAAAAAATTAAAACTCCCAAAAAATTGAACGACAATACAAGAGGGGGATCAAACATAGGCTAACAGTTAGAGAAATTGACGAGTAGACATCAACAAACCATAAAAAAATTAAAAGCGGAAGAGAAAAAATAGACACTATGAACGAATATTTTTATAGAACTCAAATATGTAAAACTAATAAACAAAAAGTAAATCATCTTTTATTCAAAGTAATGAAGAAGAAGAACGAATTAATAAAAAAAAAACACAATTCAAAAGAATCGTGTGTGTATGGAAAAGAAGATAAAAAATAGGAAGAAAAAAACCACTTCTCAATAAAAAAGGACACCATGCTGCCCACGTTCTAAAATTATTTAATTTAATTAAAAATGAACTTCCCAATACGTGGGCTACTAATTGCAAAATTTAATTTTCAAAAACCTTTTTTTGTCAAAAAAAGAAGAAGAAGGCTATATGCTGCCAATTAGTTAAATGGGATGTCATGTTGTGCCATTTTTTTCGCCTATATTCCAATCGTTGTTTTTTGGAAGGCCCAAACCTATTCCACTAAAAGCCCTTTAATGTTAGGCCCAAATGAAAGGGGCCTCATACAATTTTATAAGAGAGCACTTTTTGGTATATACCATAAAGAGTAAACTTTAGGTTTAACAAACATAAAAATCATATTTGTATGTTATAGTTATAGTCTATATAATTGCGCTTCATAGCAGATTTTATGTTTGCTATGACTATTAATTTGTATATTTCGTTTTACATATACATAAAAAAATATGTATTTGGGTCTATTTGTATATTTCGATATACAAATGACATGACAAAAAACATGGAATGTTTGTTGCGAATTACAAATAAAAGAAATTATGGCTATAACATTTAATTTGAATTAATAGTTTGTTATTTCATACAATTTTTCCTACCATAAATAACAAAGAGATATTAAACTTAATAAGTCTCCTTATCTATTGTTTGCCTTGTTAGGCTCCACATCTATAGTTTCATTTGCTATAAGTATTTTTGTTTGTATAATTTGCTTGTTAATATACAAATATAGTAGATATACAAATTCTATATTTATAAATTTAGAAAAAATTCAAAAACTATACAACTCAAATGTATCAACATGGTAATTATATACAAGTTAGGATAAGCATAACAAATTTTGGATTTATACAATTAGGAATCAAATTATACAAATTTTGGATTTATACAAATTATGGATTTATACAAATACAGATGTGAATCTATCTAGTGGAGTGATATATGAGTTTACTTTGAGATCATTACAATAATTTATAAACTTTAACTCTTAGATTCTAAAAGCTTCTCATATATCATATACAATTTATTAAATTTCTGATCGAAACAATGATGATATCTCATTAACTTCATACAACTACCAGCTCATTATGATAGAAACGTCCTAATTTAGGTTTGAAAACGAAGTTCAGATCTCATTTACGTAGATGCATACTATTTTTTTGTTTTTCAATTTGTTTATCTGATTTTAATTTTTTTTTTGAAGTTCAGAAAATAAAAAAGATTTTTAAGTCTTGTGGTCTTAAACTAAAAATAGGTAGAATTTATCGAAATATCTTTTAATCTTGTGGTTTTATATAAAAAGTCAAAATTAAAGAATTACCAAAACAAAAGCAAAAACATTTTTTAAAAATGAACTAAAAAGTAAAATAGACAAATTAATCAAAACGAAAGGAGTATTGAAAATAACAAATACAAGTACAATAAGTGGATGAACTACGTATTCGTGAAGGGGTTAGTTCAGGGGGGGCTTTACAAGCTTAAAAAAAGGGCAGCTAACTTAAACCTTCTAATTCGAGGGCCTATTTTTTTTAATTAAATCAATAATATATTATAAATATTTTCTTTAAAAAAATATTAAGTATTATTTGCAGAAAACATTATTCCTTATTAGCTTTGCTTAGTTCACTATACTTTTTTTTATGAAGTCTTTTAAATATTCAATTATAACGTTAGGCATTTTAAAGCCTTATTCGCATGTAGTGTTTACCCAAAATTGAAAAATAGATGACGAATACTTCAATTATTACTCTTGTTATTAAATTATAATTAATTTATGTTGAGATTTTAAAGATGGGAATAGAAATAGAGAAAAATACTTTTTGAACTGCATCAAAAAGAGGGCACTTTCAAGACAGAGAAATATCGAAATTGAACTATTTCTCTATTCTCTGCATTTATTTTCAAAACAAAAATATAATTGAGTCATGTATTTTGTACCGCTATTTGTAATTTGAGTTTGCTCAAGTTCTATAAAATTAAAGTACTGATTACCGAATAGATTTTCATTCTATTTTACGACTCAAATAAAAAGAGGTAACTATTTACATATCTTCTTAATTTATAATATAATTTAATATAAATATGATAAATCTTTACCACCAAAGTGTGTAGCATTGCAGAAAATATTATGGAAAAAATTATCTAAATTCACATTTTATTTTATCATAATCTCTAAAAAAATTTATTATTTTTTTTCCTTAAAAAATCTCCTATAGGATACATCACTCCCCTTTTATTGATACATCCTTACCTTCTCGGTGTACCCAGATATACTATCCTCTTTTTGACACATTCCTCTCCTATGTATTCGAAAGTCCGATGATGTATTCGAAATTCATATATTTTTAAGAAAAAATTATTTTTATAATTTGAAAAAAAACAAGGAAATAATGTAATTAACTCATGACACTATGAAATTTATGTAAATTATATTATTATTATTATTGGAGCAACGTGGCGGTGAGGCGGCCTATTTTGGACCACCCAATGGCATGACAGTGCGCCAGCTCAACGTTACTGACCTTAAGATTCTATTTGGGCCCCTTTTTAATCCCATCAACAATTGCTGACAGGATATCATCTCATTTATTCCTAATCCTTAGTCCAAATCAAATTAAATATTTCATTGACTACCCCATTTTTATTTTATTAATCTATGAAATTTGAGAAACAACTCTTACACTTGCAATGCTTTAAAATTATAACAAAAATTGCTATTACCCTAGCAGTTTAAGATGGTGTATAGTCAGTGGCGGACCCACGTGCTCTCTAAGAGGGTTTACCCGAATTCCTCGACAAAAAATTATGTTATAATTATAAGCTAAATTTTCTGAATTTATATAGATATAATAATTTTAAACCCCCTCATGAACAAGAAGTAAGTTGCAGCGTAGTGGTAGATCTCCTTCAAATTGGCCCTCTAGGGTTTGAATCCTATTGTTGTCATTTTTTCTGTTTTTTTTTTTTAAAAAAAAAGCGTAGATTTAAACCCAAAAAAAATCCAAAAGTGCTAAAAGGTCTCTGCTAACGGAACTAATTTTTTTTTTGTACTTATAAACTATATACTAGTACTTCCTTGAAATTGTATTTTCTTGGCTTATTCATACATTTATATTTTTATTTTTCGAACCCCTAAATAAAATTCCTGAATTCGCCACTGTGTATAGTATTAGTTATGATTACAATAAAATCTAGTAATAGATATTGTTCAAAGTGTTAAAGAAATCTACTATAGTATAATTAGTAACTCAATGATTATTGGGTTCAGTATCTTGAAACCATCTCATGGCTAGCATGGGCAAATCTAGAGTATCGTCTACAAATTCACGTTATCAATCAAATACTAATTTTTATCCAGATCCTATATATGTATTGAAAATTCCACTAAATAACTATAAATATTTGATAACAAATTCAATTACAACTATAGTAAAATCTCTCACAAATGAGATATGAAAAAAATGATGTGTACGTAGTATTTCCCTTACCTTGACTTGAGAGTGCTATATGAATCGTTAAACTTCAAATTCAGAATCCGACTATGATCGATAAAACGGAAGTTCAAAAGTAGAAAGAAACAAGAAGAAGTCGTATCAAGCAGCAAGTGGGAACCGTCCATCCAAAATTGATGAATGATGAGGACACCTTCGTGGCCTACTGAACGTGACACTTAGGCACTAATGTCTTTTTATTTATTTATTTATTTATATACTTTGGATATATGGCTGCCTATTTTTAGGTAGGGGCTGTGGGACATTCTGGTTTTCATCTTCTTCTATGATACGTGTTTGTTGATTGTGATTTTGGTATGGTATGATTAATTAACAAATCTATGCATTTTGAGTTCTATCAATTTTAAGTTATTAGATATAAAGTTTGAACTAAAATTACGATCAAACTTATACAACTTTGGTGTGCGAGTTCTATCAAAGCCCTCCTTGTCAGAACTTCCGTAACGCCACAATATAATATATCAATAAGACATGACTACCTAAATCAGTTAATTGTAGCACTCAATAAGCCGTGACAAAAAAATGTAACTCACTACTTATTAAATGCAATCAAATTTTAATTTATTTATACAAAGTACATATTTTTTTTAATAACAATTACCGATTTTTTTACAATATACAAGTTACAATAGTCTCACACCAAAAATTAACTAATCTTAATTTTCTATTATTACTGTATAATCAGTGTAAAATGTTAAGACCCTGTAATATAATGATATTTTTTTTTTTTGTCCTTGTAATACATTATTGCAGGAAGAAAATAGTTGAAATATTGCTATTTGCTTACAACTTTATATCCAAACCTAAAGGGCGGCAAAAGAAGACAAACCATCTATTATCTTGGATTGATTGGGACAACTCTTTGTTTTAAAACCAAATTACTCTCCCACCAGCTCTACACATGCATGATGCATCCTCTTACAATTCATTGATCCTAGTCATATTTTTTGAACTTTATTATCAATAATCTTATATTTTATCATAAAAAAAGTTTTTCCACGTCGATTAGTGACATGGAACATGGGATTTTCCACTTCCTGCATATCATCAACCTGCTCTTTTTGATTATTTTTTTTGGTACAGTCTCGAAATTTCAAATATGAAATTGAGAAAGATTCAACCCTTAATGTAATTTTCTATCGAATTGGGTTCGAACTCTCTTGCTCTCGACTCCGCTCCTGATTATTGTTTACCCAGTCATCAGTAAATTATTGTTGCTTTTTGACTTGAACTTTACATCTGTTGATTTAAATATCCTTCTCTTTCCTTTCCCTTTGTGCCCATCTCATGGTTTATTGTAAAGTTATTGACTGTTTTTATCACATGACACAGGTTTCCCTTTAATTTACCTTAAGACCAGGAGGAAAATATAATTGACCTTTTTTTACCCAAGTTGACATCTTTTTACCTTAAGAAATGACTGTTTAGTTTCTTTCTATTTCTTTTACCCTCCGTTACCTGTATCATTTACCTTTTCGATTCCATATTTGTATTGGGTAGACTCACTTGATACATCACAGTTTTAGGCTCAAATACAACTACATCTCAGTCTCAAGCAAGTTAAGACCGGCTATATAAATCCTCATTGTTTACGTCACTCCATTTGAGCTCTTAGTCCAAAATTATCTCACTAAAATAATGGTCAAACAGATTATAGGATCACTAGTAAAATGCATTAAAATTCAAGCCAAAGTTGTCCAAGATCAAGTAAATCAATAAAACCAATTTGTAGGAAAATTCAAGCCAACAACACCTATCTAAGGATTGTTAGGAAGGCATGTTACTCTCCTTCAAATAAAATTTTAGGACCATAAAGAAAATTTTAACCTAGGTTGCTCGGACTCTTTGAAAATGTCAACAAATGCGTGTCGGATCTCCAAAAGTAGTGTATTTTTGGAGAATCAGACATGGGTGCGGCATTGAAAGTGAAGAGTCTGCGCAACTTAGTTTATAACCACCCTGGGATCAAGTAAAAGTATAATCTTCTGGCAATTTCTCCTTGTCAGCAGCACAATCCCTACAGTCATAAGAAACAATTATGTGGCTGTTTGATGACTAAAGCTACACTAGAGGGGCATGTGACTACTCATCATTCAAAAGGACCAGGCATCTATGTCCAACTCACTATATTAGTAGAATTAACAAGTGGGATTTGTCATTTTCTGTCTACTTTAACAACATGGTCATCAGTTAATTATTATATAACTATTGTAATCCTGCATTGACATATATAGAGAATCTCTACTTAAAGTTATGAGAATTGTCAGTCGAGTTCAATTGTACAACACACACTCTGATAGTCTTTAGCGAGTGGAAAAGAAAACGTAACACAGCAGTTCTGCGATCAGCTTATGAGAAATGGAAGATGACGCTGAAATACCAGAGAACAAAAGTGTAAGTTAACTCACTTATTTTTACTTTATGTGAGCATGATACTTCTTCATTTTGCGTGTTTCATTAGCTGCAGCAGTAATTTCTATAGCTAATTATAGTAGTCAAGCTTGCTTTCATGTATATGAAGCAACTTCAAAAGAAGCAACGGCTTGATCAGAGATCATACCTCAAACAACTGTGTGAAGAGAGATGTGTTCATTTGTTCCATAAAGATCGGTCAGGAATACAGTGTTCCTAAGAAGTACAAATACATGTTACATACTAGATTAAGTATTAGTACGCCACTGAAGTATGAGTTAATGAAATAACTTCACCAAATCACTGCCAATTTTCTTCAAAGCGCAAAGGTTGTTACTAAAGAACCGAATCAAGGTTACCATCTTCATGTAAAGATGATTTCATGCAATCTTTGATGACAAAATAAAATTTGTTTCGGTTTTGCTTATCACTTATAGAGGTTTCCTAGTTTCAGGAACTTGTATGTTATTTCTACAAATTAGTAGATATTCAACTGGATCAAATTGTTTATTCTACAATAAACTCGATCCTTCTTGAATTGGCTAATTGAAGAGCATCCTGACTACCATGGCTGAATGTTCATATAAAGTTCCAGGAAAACTTTCCCTTACCTGAGATTCCTTCTTGATATAGTCCCATATAACAGTTGATCTTCTTCTTAGGTAATAACAACTTGACTTCTATATATGTTTTTGGAGGTAATATGACCTAAAAGAAATAGCACAGAAACAAATCAGCACAATTATTAATCCTCAACTGCTCATGAAATAATGTAATACTGACAACTTGACTCTCCAAAAGACTATAGTTATTGATAAAACGAAAACCTCTTTGAATTAGCACAGAAACAAATCAATAAAATCTGATTTTTAAAACTCTTCTTAAATAAATTAGTATTGAAAAACTTGACTCTCCCCAAAAGACTTGTTCCTCATTTTAATTGTGTGAGACAAACTTGTAGTTAGCCTTGGAAGGCAAACTGTTCCACTCAGGTACTTATATGGAGAAGTTATGGATATACATTTCAAATCAATCCTCTCATGGTTTAGAAACACTTGAGAAAAATGTTAGAGGTAATTGGTTTATCATGACTGTTTGACACCAACACTTAAAAATTCTCTATACGACTTGCTTGTCAAATCAACCTAATCTAGAAACATGCTACTGGTAATTAATGTGTATATTCTCAGAAGTTAAAAGAATTAAGCCCCCAGCTGACGGGCTAATCTGTATTTACCCAACTGAAAACTCCAAATTTATCTTTCTTTAGAAGCCACAAACAAATCACTTGTACATGCAACAAACAGTATCTCACCAGCTTTTCACAAGCTTAGTAGGTTTATGACTACTTCAAATATTGTAGGTAGAAGTCCTCCTGCATTCTTTTCTATTGTTTCGTACTGCAGTCTCTTTCGCCAATGATAAATATCTCATACATAATACGAAGAGTAAATAGGTCCTGAGAAGGTCCTATATGTAGGGAGTTGGGACCTTTTAAGGCTTTGACCACTAAGCTAGGGTTAGTAACTCCATTTCAATGATAAAAAAGGGATCTTGCTAATGTTATACAGTTCCAATAGGGCAGGATTAGTCTGACAAATTTCATGTTGTAACTTTAGTGCTGCTCTGCCAATGTTGGATAACTTAAAACACATTTCTTCTTAATTCTGTTACAACATAGCAAATATCATTCTTTATGCAGATAAAGGAAGATAATTTGCTAGGGGAAGTGTACGCAATATCAGACAAACTGAAGTTGGAGAAAGACAAAAGGGACCAATCACTATCTGAGTTTGAAGGAACTTCAGAGGTTGAAAATGTCAAGGATCTGATTAAAGGTAATTATGGAACCACTGAGGGTGAAAAATTTTATGCATCACCCTTAGTTTCCAAAGCTGTCGAAGAAAATGGTAGTTCAGTGGAAGTCCATGTATCAGTCGATACACCAAACAAGTCAGATGAACAGATGTCCGGGAGTTCATTCCATCTGGGGGAGAAAGAAGAAGACAAAAGAGTAGAAATCGTTTCTGCGGGAACACAGAATCCAAGTGAAGAGAGTGAAACATCATGTGAAATGAACAATGTTGAGAAGAACACATCTATCCCCTTGACCGTCCGAGGAGATGTTAGCTCTGCAAAATATAAAACGGAAGGGACAGACACTGGCGCAATCAAATCACCTGGCGACACTAAGGATGAGAAGGCAGTCAAAGATGAGAATGACTACAATGGTGATAGAAATATTTTCATATCCCCCAAATCAGAGTGCCAAAGAGGAGAGGACGAGAAAAAAGAGACAGGAGATGGAGAGGGTGCTAGGAATGTGCTTGTTAACTCATTTGTTGATGTTGTAGAAGAAACCAGGTCAGATTATGCTGAATCAGATACGAGTGCGAAACATGGGGACAACTCAATCGAGAAGGGAAACCAAGATGTTGCTGACCATCCAGCAGTAGAGGAAAAAACTGAAGAACTAGAAGTTGAAGAAAAACATGAAAAACCAATTATTGAAGAGAAAACGAAAGAACCAATAGTTACGGAGAAACATGCAGAACCAGCGGTGGAAGAAAAACCTGAAGAACCAGCAGTTGAAGTAAAAACTGAAGAACCAGTTGTGCAAGAGAAACCTGAAGAAACAGAGGTTCAGGAGAAATTTGAAAAAACAGAGGTTGAAGAGAAGCCCGAAGAACTAGTGGTTGAAGAAACACCAAAAGAACCAACACGAGAAAAAACATCCGAAGAGTTAGAATTTGAAGAAAAACCTGAGAAGGTAACTTTCTTGGAAAAGGTGAGGACCAAGCACTGGCACAAAGTTTATCCATTGTATTAGTTATGTATGTGTAACAGTTCACATTTGCTTATCTACTGAAAGACCAACTGAAACTTCAAATTTTTCTTGCAGAAAATACAAGTTGTAGACTCGAACGACAAAAGTGAGAATGAACTTCCATGCAATACCAACAATGATGCTGCTAACTTTGCAGAATTTGAGGAACCAGCAGTTGAAGAAAAACCTGAAAAACTAGAGAAACCTGATTTACCAATGGTTAGGGAGAAACGTGAAGAACCAATGGTTGAGGAAAAATCTGAAGAATCATTTGAGGAGAAAACTCGAAAAACAGAGGCTGGAGAGAAACCTGAAGAACCAACAGCTAAAGAAACACCTGAAGAACTAGCAGAGGAGGAAATGCCTGAAGAGCTAGCCCTTGAAGAGAAACCTAGAGAACCAACCGTTGAAGAGACACTTGAAGAACTAGATGTTGAAGAGAAAGCTGAAAAGAAAGCAATTGAAGAGGAGAAACCTGAAACGGAAGCTCTTCAGGAGAATGTGAGGATTAAACACTTTCACAAAGTTTATCCATCATATTAGCTTTATATGCGTAACGAATTTACATCTGTTTTATCCGTTGAAAGACTAAATGAAACTTCAATTTATTTATTTTTGCAGAATTCACCAATTGAAAAGTCAAAGAACAAGACAGACAATGCAATTCAATGCAATACCAACAATGCTATTGCCGATTATGAATCAGTTGAGGAAAAAACTGAAGAACCAGTAGTTGAAAATAAACATGAAGAACCAGCAATTGAAGAGAGATCTGAAGAGTCAGTGGTTATGAAAAAACCTGAACAACCAGCAGTTGAAGAGAAATCTGAAAAACCAGTAGCAAGAGAGGAACTTGAAGAACCATCGATTGAGGAGACACTAGAAGAACCAGCAGTTGAAGATAAACCTGAAAAACCAGTAACTGAAGAAGCACCTGAAGAACCAACACAGGAAGAAACACCAAATGAACAAGCATTTGAAGAGAAACCTGAAAACCCAATAACTGAAGAAGCACCTGAAGAACCAACACAGGAAGAAACACAAAATAAACTAGCATTTGAAGAGAAACCAGCAGTTGAAGAGGAGAAACCCAAAAAAGTATCTCTTTTGGAAAAGGTGAGGGTCAAGTATTATCAAGAAGTTTATCCATCCTATTAGTTATGTATGTCCAACAATTCATTTCTGGTTATCTCTTGAAAGACTAAGAGAAACTTTAAATTCTTCTTGCAGAAAATGCTAGTTGTAGACTCTAAGGACAACACTGATAGTGATATTCTATGCAATACCAACAACGATGCTGCTCACTATCCAAAAACTGAGAAAATAACCGAAGAACCAGCAGTTGAAGAAAAACCAGAAAACCCAATTTTTGAAGAGAAACGTGATGTATCAGAGATTAAAGAGAAACCTGAAGAACCAACGGTTGAGGAGAAACCTGAAGAACCAGCGGCTGAAGAGAAACCTAAGGAACGGACAGCGAAAGAAACACATGAAGAGCTAGCAGGGGAGGAAACACATGAAGAACTAGCATTTGAAGAGAAACCTGAAGAACCAATGGTTGAAGACATACCTGAAAAACCAGCAGTAATGGAGGAGGAGAAACCTTTAACAGAAGGGCTTCTGGAGAAGGTGAAGATTAAACACTTACCACAAAGTCTATCCATCATATTAGCTTTATATGTGCAATGAATTTACATCTGTTTATCTGTCAAAAGACTAAGTGAAACTTCAATTTTCTTGCAGAATTTGCCAATTGTAGACTCAAAGGACAGGATAGACAATGCAATTCCATGCAATACCACCAATAATGATATTGCTAACTATGCATCAGTTGAGGAAAAACCTGACGAACCAGCAGTTGGAAAAACACATGAAGAATTAGCAATTGAAGATAAATCTGAAGAATCAGTTGTTTCGGAGAAGCTTGAAGAACTAGTGGTTGAGAAAAAAACTGAACCGACAGTTGAAGAGAAACCTGAAAAACAAGCAGTTGGAGAGAAACATGAAGAACCAGCCGTTGAAGAGGAGAAACCTGAAAAAGTAAGGGTCAAGCACTATCACAAAGTTTATCCATTTTGTTAGTCATGTATGTACTGTGATTAACATCTGCTTCTTTATTGGAAGGCAAAGTAAACATTAACTTCATTTTGCAGAATATGCTAATTGTAGACTTGAACGACAAAACTGGTAGTGAAATTCCATGCAATACCGGTAATGATGTTGCTCACTTTCCAGACATTGAGGAAAATCCTGAAGAATCGGCAGTTGAAGAAAAAACTGAAGAATCAGTCATTGAACAGAAACCTGGTGTACCAGCAGTTAAGGAGAAACCTGAAGAACCAACATTTGAGGAGAAATCTGAAGTACTAGTTGAGGAGAAACCTCAAGAACCGGCGTCTAAAGAGAGACCTGAAGAAGCGGCAGCTAAAGAAACAGTTGAAGAGCTAACAAAGGAGGAAGCACCTGAAGAACTAGCACTTGAAGAGACACCTGAAGAACTAGTTCTTGAAGAGAAAGATGAAGAAACAGCTATTGAAGAGGAGGAACTTGTTAGGAAAGCTCTTCAGGAGAAGGTGAGGATTAAATACTGTCACAAAGTTAATCCACCATATAAGCTTTATATGTGCAACGAATTAATATATGTTTATCTATTTAAAGACAAAATGAAACTTTAAATTTTCTTGCAGAAATTGCCGATTGTAAACGCAGAGGACAATACAGACAATGCAATTCCATGCAATACCAACAATGACATTGCTAACTATGCATTAGTTGAGGAAAAAACTGAAGAACCGGTAGTTGAAGAGAAATCTGAAGAATCAGCTATTGAAGAGAAATCTGAAGAATCAAGGGTTTTGGAGAAACCAGAAGAACCAGAGGTTGAGAAAATACCTAAACAGCCGACAATTGAAGAGAAACCTGAAAACCCAACAGTTGGAGGAGAAAAGCTTGAAGAACCATTGGTTGGAGAGACAACTAAAGAACCAACAATTGAGGAGAAACCTGAAAAAACAGTAACTGAAGAAACACCCAAGGAACTATCATTTGAAGAGAAACATGACGAACCAACCGTAGAAGAGGAGAAACTTGAAAAGGTAACTCTTTTGGAAAAAGTAAGGGTCAAGTATAATAACAAAGTTTATCCATTTTGTTAGTTATGCATGTACTGTGATTCACATGCTCTTTTTTTGAAAGGCTAGGTGAAACATTAAATTCTTTTTGCAGGATATGCTAATTGTAGACTCGAACACCAAAACTGGCAGTGAAATTCCATGCAATACCAATAATGATGTTGCTCACTCTCCAGACATCGAGGAAAATCCTGAAGAATCGGCAGTTGAAATAAAAAATGAAGAACCAGTCATTGAAGAGAAACCTGATGTACCAGCAGTTAAGGAGAAACCTGAAGAACCAAAATTTGAGGAGAAATCTGAAGTACCAGCTGAAGAGAAACCTCAAGAACCGGCGACTGAAGAGAAACCTGAAAAAACCGGCAGCTATAGAAACAGCTGAAGAACTAGCACTTGAAGGGAAACCTGAAGAACTAACAGTTGAAGATACATCTGAAGAGCTAGTTGTTGAAGAGAAAGATGAAAAACCAGCAATTAAAAAGGAGGAACCTGAAACGGATGCTCTTCAGGAGAAGGTGACAATTGACACTGTCACAAAGTTTATTCAGCATATTAACATTATAAGTGCAACGAACTTACATATGTTTTATCTATTGAAAGACTAAACGGAACTTCAATTTTTCTTGCAGAATTTGCCAATTGTAAACTCAAAGAACACAACAAACAATGCAATTCCATGCAATACCAACAATGACATTGCTGACTATGCATCAGTTGAGGAAAAAACTGAAGAACCAGAAGTTGAAGAGATATCTGAAGAATCAGCTATTAAAGAGAAATCTGAAGAATCAAGGGTTATGGAGAAACCAGAAGAACCAGCGGTTGAGAAAACACCTGAACAGCCGACAATTGAAGAGAAACCTGAAAACCCAACAGTTGGAGGAGAAAAGCTTGAAGAACCATTGGTTGGAGAGACAACCAAAGAACCAACAATTGAGGAGAAACCTGAAGGAACAACTAAGGAACTATCATTTGAAGAGAAACATGACGAACCAACCGTTGAAGAGGAGAAACATGAAAAGGTAACTCTTTTGGAAAAGGTAAGGGTCAAGTATAATAACAAAGTTTATCCATTTTGTTAGTTATGCATGTACTGTGATTCACATGCTCTTTTTTGAAAGGCTAGGTGAAACATTAAATTCCTTTTGCAGGATATGCTAATTGTAGACTCGAACACCAAAACTGGCAGTGAAATTCCATGCAATACCAATAATGATGTTGCTCACTCTCCAGACATCAAGGAAAATCCTGAAGAATCGGCAGTTGAAATAAAAAATGAAGAACCAGTCATTGAAGAGAAACCTGATGTACCAGCAGTTGAGGAGAAACCTGAAGAACCAAAATTTGAGGAGAAATCTGAAGTACCAGCTGAGGAGAAACCTCAAGAACCAGCGACTGAAGAGAAACCTGAAAAACCGGCAGCTATAGAAACAGCTGAAGAACTAGCACTTGAAGGGAAACCTGAAGAACTAACAGTAGAAGATACATCTGAAGAGCTAGTTGTTGAAGAGAAAGATGAAAAACCAGCAATTGAAGAGGAGGAACCTGAAATGGAAGCTCTTCAGGAGAAGGTGACAATTAACACTGTCACAAAGTTTATTCAGCATATTAACTTTATAAGTGCAATGAATTTAAATATGTTTCATCTATTGAAAGACTAAATGGAACTTCAAATTTTCTTGCAGAATTTGCCAATTGTAAACTCAAAGAACACAACAGACAATGCAATTCCATGCAATACCAACAATGACATTGCTGACTATGCATCAGCTGAGGAAAATACTGAAGAACCAGAAGTAGAAGAGATATCTGAAGAATCAGCTATTGAAGAGAAATCTGAAGAATCAAGGGTTTTGGAGAAACCAGAAGAACCACCGGTTGAGAAAATACCTGAACAACCGACAATCGAAGAGAAACCTGAAACACCAACAGTGGGAGAAAAGCTTGAAGAACCATCAGTTGAGGAGACGATCAAAGAACTAAAAATTGAGGAGAAACCTGATAAACAAGTAACTGAAGAAACACCCAAGGAACTAGCATTAGAAGAGATACATAAAGAGCCAGCAATGAAAGAGGAGAAACCTGAAAAGGTAACTCTTTTGGAAAAGGTAAGGGTCAAGTACTATCACAAAGTTTATCCATTTTGTTAGTTATGCATGTACAGTGATTCACATGCTCTTCTTTTGAAAGGCTAAGTGAAACATTAAAGTCTTTTTGCAGAATATGCTAATTGTAGACTCGAACACCAAAACTGGCAGTGAAATTCCATGCAATACCAATAATGATGTTGCTCACTCTCCAGACATTGAGGAAAATCCTGAAGAACCGGCAGATGAAATAAAAAATGAAGAACTAGTCATTGAAGAGAAACCTGATGTACCAGCAGTTGAGGAGAAACCTGAAGAACCAACATTTGAGGAGAAATCTGAAGTACCAGCTGAGGAGAAACCTCAAGAACCGGCGACTGAAGAGAAACCTCAAGAACCGGCAGCTATAGAAACACCTGAAGAACTAGCACTTGAAGAGAAACCTGAAGAACCAACGGTTGAAGATACATCTGAAGAGCTAGTTGTTGAAGAGAAAGTTGAAAAACCTGCAATTGAAGAGGAGGAACCTGAAATGGAAGCTCTTAAGGAGAAGGTGAGAATTAACACTCGCAAAGTTTATTCAGCATATTAGCTTTATATGTGCAACGCATTTACATGTTTATCTATTGAAAGACTAAATGAAACTTTAAATTTTCTTGCAGAATTTTCCAATTGTAAACTCAAAGAACACAATAGACAATGCAATTCCATGCAATACCAACAATGACATTGCTGACTATGCATCAGTTGAGGAAAAAACTGAAGAACCAATAGTTGAAGAGATATCTGAAGAATCAGCAATTGAAGAAAAATCTAAAGAATCAAGGGTTTCGGGGAAACCAGAAGAACCAGCGGTTGAGAAAATACCTGAACAACCGACAGTTGAAGAGAAACCTGAAAAACCAACCGTGGGAGAAAAGCTTGAAGTACCATCAGTTGAGGAGACAATCAAAGAACCAAAAATTGAGGAGAAACCTGAAAAACAAGTAATTGAAGAAACACCTAAGGAACTAGCATTTGAAGAGATACATGAAGAACCAGCCATGGAAGAGGAGAAACCTGAAAAGGTAACTCTTTTGGAAAAGGTAAGGGTCAAGCACTATCACAAAGTTTATCCATTTTGTTAGTTATGTATGTACTATGATTCACATCTGCATCTTTATTGAAAGGCTAAGTGAAACATTAAATTCTTTTTTGCAGAATATGCTAATTGTAGACTCGAACGAAAAAACTGGCAGTGAAATCCCATGCAATACCAATAATGATGTTGCACACTCTCCAGACAGTGAGGAAAATCCTGAAGAATCGGCAGTTGAAGAAAAAACTGAAGAACCACTCATTGAAGAGAAACCTGGTGTACCAGCTATTAAGGAGAAACCTGAAGAACCAACATTTGAGGAGAAATCTGAAGTACCAGTTGAGGAGAAACCTGAACTAGCGATTACAGAGAAACCTGAAGAACCGGCGACTATAGAAACACCTGAAGAGCTTGCAGGGGAGGAAACACCTGAAGAACTAGCTCTTGAAGAGAAACCTGAAGAACCAACAGTTGAAGACACATCTGAAGAACTAGTTGTTGAAAAGAAAGATGAAAAACCAGCAATTGAAGAGGAAGAACCTGAAACGGAAGCTCTTCAGGAGAAGGTGACAAATAAACACTGTCATAAAAACTATCCATCATATTAGCTTTATATGTGCAACGAATTTACATAAGTTTATCTGTTGAAAGACTAAATGAAACTTAAACTTTTCTTGCATAATTTGTCAATTGTAAACTCAAAGGACAAGACAGACAATGCAATTCCATGCAATACCAACAACGACATTGCTGACTATGCATCAGTTGAGGAAAAAACTGAAGAGCCAGTAGTTGAAAAAAAACATGAAGAACAAGCAATTGAAGAGAAATCAGAAGAAACAGCGGTTTCAGAGAAGCCAGAAGAACCAGTGGATGAGAAAAAACCTGAACCACCGGCAATTGAAGAGAAACCTAAAGAAACAACAATGGAAGAGAAGCTTAAAGAACCATTGGTTGAGGAGACAATTGAGGAGAAAGCTGCAAAACCAATAACTGAAGAAGCACCTGAAGAACCAAAACGGGAAGAAACACCTAACGAACTATTATTTGAAGAGAAACCAGCACTTGAAGAGGAGACATCCAAAAAGGTAGCTCTTTTGGAAAAGGTGAGGGTCAAGCACTGTCACAAAGTTTATCCATCTTATTAGTTATGTATGTGCAATGATTCACATCTGCTTCTTCATTGATAGACTAAGTGAAACATTAAATTCTTTCGCAGAATATGATAGTTGTAGACTCAAACGACAAAACTGGCAGTGAAACTCCATGCAATACCAATAATGATGTTGCTCACCCTCCACAAGTTGAGGAAAATCTTGAAGAGTCAGTAGTTGAAGAAAAACCTGAAGAACCAACTATTGAAGAGAAACTTGATGTACCAGCGGTTAAGGAGAAACCTGAAGAACCAGTGGTTGAGGAGGAACCTCAAGAACCAGTGGCTGAAGAAACACCTGAAGAGCTAGAAGGGGAGGAAACACCTGAAGAATTAGCACTTGAAGAGAAAACTGAAGAACCAACGGTTGAAAAGACACCTAAAGAACTAATTGTTGAAGAGGAGAAACCTGAAACAGAAGCTCTTCTAGAGAAGGTCAGGATTAAATATTGTCACAAAGTTTATTCATCAAATTAGGCTTTATATGTGCAACGAATTTACATATGTTTATCTATTTAAATACTAAGTAGAACTCTAAATTTCTTGCAGAATTTCCCAATGGAAGACCCAAAGGACAAGATAGATAATGCAATTCCTTGCAATACCAACAATGATATTGCTGACTATGAATCAGTCGAGGAAAAACCTCAAGAACTAGTAGTTGAAAAAGAACATGATGAAACAATGATTGAAGAAAAATCTGAAGTATTGGCTGTTATGGAGAAGCCTGAAGAACCAGCGGTTGAGAAAAAACTTGAAGAACTGGCAGTTGAAGAAGAACGTGAAAAACCAACTGTGGAGGAGAAATTTGAAGAACCATCGGCTGAGGAGAAACTTGAAGAACCAAAGGTTGAAGAGAAACCTGAAAAGACAATAACTGAAGAGACACCCAAAGAATCAACACGGGAAGAAACACCTAATGAACTAGCATGTGAAGAAAAACCTGAAGAGCCAGCAGTTGAAGAGGTGAAACCTGAAGAACCAACAAGTGAAGAGGAGAAACCAGAAAAGGTAACTCTTTTGGATAAGGCAAGGGTCAAGCACTGTCATAAAGTTTATCTGTCCTATTAGTTATGTATGTACAACAATTTACATCTGCTTATCTACTGAAAGACTAAGTGAAACTTAAAATTCTTCTTACAGAATTTGCTAGTTGCAGACTCGAAGGAAAAAACTGACAATAAAATTCCCTGCAATACTAGCAACGATGCTGCTCACTTTCTAGAAGATGAGAAAAACCCTGAAAAACCAGCAGCTGTGGAAAAACCGGTTATTGAAGAGAAACTTGATATACCAGCAATTATGGAGAAACCTGAAGAACCAACAATTGAGGAGAAATCTGAAGAACCAGTTGAAGAGAAACCTAAAGAACCAACTGTTGAAGAGAAACTTGAAGAACCAACAACTAAAGAAACACATGAAGAGCTAGCAGGGGAGGAAACACCTGAAGAACTACCACTTGAAGAGAAACCTGAAGAACCAATGGTTGAAGAGACCTCTGAAGAGATAGCTGTTGAAGAGAAACATGACAAACCAGCAATTGAAGAGGAGAAACCAGAAATGGAAACTCTCCTAGAGAAGGTGAGGATAAAACAATGTCACAAAGTTTATCCATTCTAATAGCTTTATATGTGCAACGAACTCACATATGCCAATCTATTGGAAGATTAAATTGAATTTTTGAACTTCTCTTGCAGAATATGCCAATTGTAGACTCAAAGGACAAGATTGACAGTGAAATTCTAGGCAATTCAAACAACGATGTTGCTTACTATCCAACAGTTGAAGATAAAGCTGAAGTACAGGTAGTTAAAGAAAAACATGAAAAACAAGTGATTGAAGAGAAACGTGAAGAACCAGCGGTTAATGAAAAAACTGATGAACCAGCAGTGACAGAGAAACCTGAAGAACCGGCTGTGGAAAAAAAAACTGAAGAACAAGTTTTCGAGGAGAAACTTGAAGAACCAACAGTTGAAGAGAAATCTGAAGAACCTGTAGTTGAAGAAACACCTGAAGATCTAGCAGATGAAAAGAACCTTGAGAAACTAGTAATCGAAGAGAAACCTGAAAAGGTAACTTTGTTGGAAGAGGTAAGGATCAAGTACAATCACAAGCTTTAACTGTACTATTAGTTATGTATGTGCAACAATTCACATATGTTTATCTATTGGAAGACTAAGTAAAACTTTAAATTTTTCTTGCAGGATATGTCAGCTATAGATTCAAACGGGAAGACTGACACTGAAACTCCATGCAATACCAACATTGATGTTGCTGACTATCCAGCAGTTGAGGAAAAAACTGAAGAACCAATGGTTGAGGAAAAACATGAGGAACCAATTGTTGAGGATAAACCTGAAGAACCAGTTATAAATGAGAAACTTCAAATTTTGGCAATTGAAGAAACGCTTGAAGAGCAAGCAAGAGCGGAAACACCTGAAGACCTAACAGTTGAAGAGAAACCCAACAAACCAGCAGTTGAAGAGACACCGGAAGAACTAGCTATTGAACAGAAATCTGAAAAACAAGCAGTTGAAACGGTGACTCTCTTGGAAAAGGTAATCGAGCACTGTCGCAGAGTTTACCATCCTATCAGCTCTATACATGCAAGGAATTTGCATCTACTTATCTATTAAAAGTCTTAGTGAATCTTTAAATTCTTCTTGTAGAATATGCCAGATACGGACTCAAGTCACTCAACAGACAAGATTAATGGTGAAATTCTGTGCAACGACAACAGTGATGTTTCTGACTATTCAGCTGTTGAGGAAAAACATGAAGAAATAGTAATAGAAAAAAAATATGAGGAACTAGCACTGAAAGAGAAACCTAAAGAACCAGTTGTATCGGAGAAATTCGAAGAACTAATGGTTGAGGAGACACCTGAAAAATTAGTAGTTGAAGAAAAGCTTGACGAACCAGTTGCAGGGGAAGAAACAGTTGATAAACCAGCACGGGAAGAAACACCTGACAAACAAGTAGCTGAAGAGAAACATGAAGAAGTAGTTGTTGAAGAGAAACTAGAGAAAGCAGCAGCTGAAAAGGTAACGCCCCTCGAAAAGGTGAGGATCAAACACTGTCACAAAGTTGTCCATCCTAATAGTTATGTATGTGCAATGAATTCACATCTGCTTATCTATTGAAAAATTAAGTGAAACTTTCTTCTAGCAGAATAAGCATGTTGTAGACTCAAATGATAAGACTGGCAATGAAATTTCATGCAATACCGACAATGATTTTGCTGAAATTGAGGAAAAACCCGAAGATTCAGCAGTTGAAGAGAAACTCAAGGAATCGACAGTTGAAGAGAAACGGGAAGAACTTGCCATCGAGGAGAAACCCGAAGAACCAAAAATTGAGGAGAAACTCGAAGAACCAGAGAAACCTAACAAACCAGCAGTTGAAGGGACACCTGAACAACTAGTTGACGAGAAACCTCGAGAAATTTCATGCAATACCATTGAAGTTGAGGAAACGCCTGAACATTCAGCAGTTGAAGAGAAACCAGTGGAACCGACAGTTGAACAGAAACCAGCAGAACCAGTTGTTAGGGAGAAACTTGAAGAATCAAAAGTTGAGGAGAAACCCAAAGAACCAGCGGTTGAGGAGAAATCCGACGAACCAGTGATTGAAGGGACACGAGAAGAACCTGTGGCAAAAGAAACACCTGAACAACCAATGATTGAAGAGAAACCTCAAGAACCAGAAGTTCAAGAGAAACCAAAAGAACCAACAGTTCAAGAGAAACTTGAAGAACCAACAATTGATGAAAAACTTGAGGAACCAGCAAGAATTGGAGAAAAACCTGAAAAACTAGCAGTTGAAGGAAAACCTGAAGAACCAGCAGTTGAAGTAACACCCAAACCAAAAATTGAAGAGAAACCCCAAGAATCAGTGATTGAGGAGCAATCTCAAGAACCAGAGGTGAAAGAAACACCTGAAGAACCAGTGGTTAAAGAGACACGTGAAGAGCTAGCAGTTGAAAAGAAACCTGAAGAACTAGCAACTGAAGAACAAGTAGTTGACCAAAAACTTGAGGAACCAACAGTTGAGGTGAAACCTGAAGAAGCTACAGTTGATGAAAAACATGAAGAACCATCAGTTGAGGAGAAACCTGAGGAATCAGCAGTTGAGAACTTTGAAGAACCAACAGTTAAGGAAAAACCTGAAGAACCACCAGTTGAAGAAGAACCAGAGGATCCAGCAGTTAAAGAGATACATGAAGAACTAGCAGGTAAAGAGAAACTTGAAGAACCAATAATTGAAGAGAAACCTAAAGAACCACCAATTGAAGAAGAACCCAAAAAACAAAACAGGGAAGAGACAGAAGCTGCCACTGAAAGAATTGATGAATCTGAAACACATAATGTAGAGAAAGAAGAAGCTTTGATTGAAAAACAGGCAGAACGGTTTGTCAAAGAAACAGCACAACCTTGCAAAGAAGTTGAAACTGAGGTATTAAATGTCTGCCTTCTATTAATAGTATGATATTTTTTCATGTGCCTAAACTAGTCATAAATCATAATAAAATCTGTCACAATAATCTTTCATTTGACCAAAAAAAAAAAAAAACTATCTCTACAAACAGATAAAAGAACTTAAAGATATCAATGCTGGTGATGAGTCAAACAATAATGCCCTACAAAAAGAAGAAACGACTCTAGAGGAACTTCTAACATCCGCCAAAGAAGAGATGGCGGCAAATAACTTTGAAGAAGGCAAAGTGGTTTCAGAAATCCCCAATCAAGAGGTTAAGTGACCACACAAGCCTGTTTACAATTCATATACCTAAGCCCAAGGTAAAATAGAAATGCTGCTTTCTCTCTTTCTTCATCACTGGATTGCTCTCTTTTTTTTCTGCAGAATGGTCAGCAAGCCAATCTAACCACAGAAGAGGCTAATGACGCCCATGGAGCAGAGAACGTAACTGAACTTTCTTCAGAAGAAATGAGGGTGGAGGACTGTATTAACAAGGTAAGTGAACAAGAACTTATAATGAATTTGCTGATTAGCATCTACTAAGAATCTACGAGTTTATTGCATGCTGATGAGACAAGAAATTTAATTCTCCTGTGAACGATATTTTCAGAACAACAACTAAGTCACAACTCCAAGTTAGTTAAGGTCACAAATCTCTAGAGGAATATAATTAATTTGAGTCTCCGTTCCCTTCTGCAAAGAGAGGATTGAGGAGATGTTGTTGTGAGAACATTATGTATGGACAACTGCAAGAAACATTTCATATAAGCAGGCAGAGTATAACATAAATGCCGATTGGCAATCTGCTACAAAAAATCACATTTCTGAATTATAAAATTGGAACTAAATTATAACAGTACAGGAAAGAAGTTAAAGAAAAGCTAGCAAAACAGAACTTGATGTTCCCCCCTTTACCGTTACAACCATTACAGAAACATGAATAAAACTTGCAGATTATCTCAAGACGAATCACAGCTAGAAGCAGCATATCCACTGCAATAGTGTTTTATTACATCATGCTAGCAGCCTCCAGCATTTTCTCTTATTTCCTCACCCTTTCAGTTATTTCTGGATACCAACCAAATCATGAATGGCTCATTCAACAGGTTGAAAGCTCTGATTTCGGGTTCCAAAATCATAATAAGTACAGCCCAGATGCAGATAAGCTTGAGCTACAAAACAGAGAAATAGATATTAGCTATATTCTCGATACTCCGGTTGAAAAAGAAACAAATGGAAGAAACAGTGAAAAGATATCTGAATCCACAGAAGAACTTATCCATCAGACATCTGAGATTTCTGAAGAAAACAAAGCAGCAGTAGATACAGACACCAATACATTACAAAGCTGTGCAGATCCACATGAACAACTGAAGCATCAGTTAGCTGAGCTACGCGAAGAGAAACAGGCAGGAGGAATAGCAGACACCAATACTTTACAAAGGTCTGCAGACCATGAGGAGCCTTACAGTGCACCTGCTCAGGAGGTAAAAATTGTAATTAAGATTTTGCACCATGCATCATTTGATTAAATGTATATTTTTCCTTTTTCTCCTGTATTTCTTAAAAGATTGCTAACGTTGACTGATCAAATTCCAGATCATTGACAAATCAGAAACAGAGGATATTTCTTGTGCGGATTGCCTTGAAGAAGAAAATAGCCTCAGAACCAACCAAGAGAAGTTAAAAGAGGGAGAAAATTCAGAAGTGAAGACAGATGAAAATTTTGACAAGGGAGATGAATTCCAAAGCATAATGGTTAGAAATTGGAATGCAGTTATCATACATCTTACTTAAGAAAGTGTTAAAGTTGCCTATTCAGAAAATTGTTCTTTCTGTAGATGTTGAAAGGAGTTGAAAAGGATGATTACAAGCAGCATATAAAACACAACACATGTGCAGTCATGGATACAGAAGAGCAGAATGAAGATTCACCTGCTGGAGAACAAACATCCGAAAAGCTAGAAGAACTGGAGAAAATTGATATTGATGACAATAAAAATATTAATCATCAAAGTACTGAGACAAACCTCCCAGAAGAGGCCACAGAATCAAAGAGTGAATGTGTTACGATGGAAATCAAGACTCCAATCAAAGAGGTCTGATTAAATTGCACACTTATATTCCATCTTAATATTTTATCAGCATGATTTGATCCGTTTTACTCCCTCCTGTCTAGGAAAGAGGTTGCTGATAGAAAATGATTGAACTCAAACTGCTTGAAATATTCAGCACATAGGTTAATGACATACAGGTCCAGCTGAAAATGATTCAACGAGAGGAAACAAAGTATTGATGTAAATTACAAACTTGAATTATATTAGTAAACTGTTTGCAGGATACACACCACCTTGATATACACAGACATTATATGACGGTTCATAAAACTACTCTAGAAAAGATCACTAAGATGAAATCCCTTTCAGCCACAGCTGGCTAAGGAAAAGTCTACTGGAGACTACCAATGTTCGTAGGTGTCAAAGATGGAAAAAACAAAGATAAAAAAATAGAAGCAAAAAACATTATTCCAATCTTTTCTTACTCCCCCCTGCCTCCCCTGTTTACTCACGCTTCTGACGGCGAATTATGAATTCATAGGAGGAACAAGAAGAAGATTTAAGAGAGACCACCGGCGAAGATTCCTCAAACAACAACACAACACAGGTGCAAAAAGAGGAGGAAACAACAATAAGTGAACCCGAAAGAGTAAGTTTGGAACCTTTTGGATCAGAACGAAAAACAGCAGCAGGTTCCGGAGAGATGATAACATGCAACGAAACAAACAAAATACATGAAGTAAGAGTTGAAAATGCTCCAGTTGCCCAAGTAGGACGTGTGCCAGAGGAAAAGACAAGGGGCGAAGAGGAAAAAGTAACCAAGCATTTCACATCATTGAAATCTGTTACGGTTTCGGAAAAGGAGATAGCGATGGATAACATGGTGAGCAATGAGAGCAACACAACTAAGCAGATACAAGAGCAAGCAGCATATCCTCTACTTACATTGGAGAGAGAGGAAACTATTCCAACAAGCAGCACTGATGCCAATGGTACTCCCAAAGACAGCATTACCCCACATATGGAACTGGGTGCAGAGGCCAAAAATATCCAGTACATGCAGGAAAAATGCAAAACTTCTGAAACAGAACAACATCAGGAAAATTATGAAAACAAGAAAGAAGTTGAATGTGATTTAAAAGAAGTACCAGAGGAATCCATATCGAGAGAGACACAAGCTAAGGCCGCACTATCTGACCTTGTGCATGTATCAACAAAAGAGACATCAAAAATTGAGGAAGACTTTGCTGAAGAAAGAGAAGGCAACGACAGAGAAGAGGAAGGAATTCAAAAAAAAAGAGAAGTGTCAAGTTCTGAAGATCCAGTGATCGTAGAAATCTCCAGAGATGCTGATATCAAAGTTCCTCCCAAAAAACATCAGAACATATTGTCAGGAGTTGGATCAAAAGTCAAGCACTCAATTGCAAAGGTGAAGAAAGCCATCACTGGTAAGTCCTCTCAGACCAAGACATCATCACCAAAGTAAGGCGGAGAAAAAAGATCAAGACTTCACATTATTCAAAGTTGTAAGTACTCAAGAAAAACAAAGTGAAAAGCTTTTCAGCTACTCTAGTTTTTAATAAAGTAGAAAAGTTTGTTCAGAATGTGTAATCTTATTGTATTAGGAGTTCCATAATTATTGGATACATACTAGCAACTTCTCAGCGACAACTCAATAACATCAACCAGTTCCACCACATACTAAGGACCCTTATTGTAGTATCAGTATGTCCCCACCAAAAGCATATCTATAATTTATTTTACACGACCCACCGTTAACATTGAGAAGGAAGACTTGAAATGGGTTATCCAAGCAAGACAACTTTCCAAGTAGTTTCCCCTAGCAAGACAACTTCCCAAGTAGTTTCTCCTAGCAAGACAACTTTCCAAGTCGGCTCTGTCGTTGTCAAAAACTATCCATAGATATTATATAACTTCCTCATATTAACTACTACTTTAAAAGGCGATATTGTGTTTTCACTATACAGTGAACTATGCATTAATAGTGACAAATGCCACCTTACCACTACCTTGTGGAGGTAGAGAGGCTGTTTCTGGATGACCCTCAGCTCAAGTTCAGCAAATCCAAGTAGAAAGAAGAAGGAGACCGCGAAGAAAATATAGCAGATAACAAGGAAACAGAGCAAAGTCAGAAAAAACACGATGAATGGAAATTTAATTCTAAAATCTCATAGACCCACCTGAGGTGCTGTGTCAAGCAACAGTTTTTCAGCTCAAGAGAGAACATGTTAAATTGCTTTTTTGAGTTAAACCGGAGAGAGTAATAAAAACAAGAAAAAAAGTAGGAGGTTGTGTAGTTTCACCAAAAGGGTGATTTAGTGACAAAAAATAGAACTTTGCAACAAAAAAAAAGGGTGATAGGTAGTTTCATGCCTATCCTAATGGAGTTGACCAACTAAAACTCAAAAGAACTTTACCTTCAAAACCTTACGATATCCATTTGGCCTCGCATGAGTTTTAGTAACAATTTCCAACAAAGAAACGTCAGAAGTAGAGCTCAGAGCCTCTCCTTTAAGGCCAAAGCTTACAAAGAAAGCATGCATATCATCTGAATGGCGGTATTTTGATGTAGCTGGTGTAAAGCAAGCATACAAAACCATAGATAAAATGACCAGACAAAGGAATCATAACAGAAGATGAAAGAAACATACACATATACTGTTTCCATAATCTGGGCAATAAGTACCTAAGCACCAATATGTATGTTCCAACTCAACTCCAGCTAGAATAAATAATCAAAACATACATACATTAGTGTTCAACACAAAATATATTTCATCTCCCCTTTTTTTGTGTTTTGGGGAGGCGGCAGAAGTATAGAAAGTATTTTATTGCAAATGAAGCACCAGGAAAGAAATGTACATGAACATCTTTATTTTGTGTTGCAGCCATACAAGTTTTCCCAATTACAAGTAAAACCACAAAATAATACATAAAAGAACATCTGTAAAAAGATACTGATGAACACACTTAAAAGAATAACAAACATAAAAAAAAACAGTCCCATGAGTAGGTAAATCTCAGGGAAAAACAAATTCCTGTTTTTCAGTTAAGCAGGGGAAAACAGGGGAAACTTGAATATGCTTAACATATTCTGCTAGGATGACAACATAACTTACTTTTTTCAACTTCTTTCAAACATAAAAATAAATTCTTAAAATTACGATTTCTTAAATATGCATTTAAGAATACCAGTGTCACTTCAAAATTCAACATGCATTATCGAGTTCTTGAATTCCAGCATGCAAGAATTCAACATATCGAGTTCTTGAATTCCGACATGTAAGAATTCGACATATCGAGTTCTTGAATTCCAACATGCAAGAATTCAACATATCGAGTTCTTGAATTTTCCTTCTTCTTTTTTAATGGATGGAAGATAATGGGAAGAGTAGTAGAAAACCGAGAAAAATGATTTAGGGTTTAGGGTTTTGATCGGACATCTTCTAATATCGATTTCTCGTATTTTCCTTCTTTCTTTTTCTGAATGAATGGAAGAATACAAGATAATGGAAAGAGCAAAGAATTCAATTATCGATTTATCGTTCTATCTTTTTCTGAATGAAGAGAAGCGGTAGAGTATGAATACAGGCGGTCGGTGTATATGGCGGTGGTGAGGTCTAATATGCGCAGGTGGTAATATGTGGGTGTTCAGGTGGTGAGGTCTAATATGCGCAGGTGGTATGTGGGTGTTACTTATAGTTTTCCCACTGGTTAATACACGCGGGAATGAAACCCAAAAAAAAAAATAGATAAAATACGCGCAAAAAAGAATCTAGTTAATACAAAATATATTACTGCTATTTTTAAAAATATATATATTCTATATTTAATTTTATTTATTTTATTAATTAATAATTAATAAGAAAAGTCTATTTTTATTTTAACTTTTGACTCAATTGTTTTCTTAGTGCAAATTTTGGAATATGAAAAGATAATTACAGCTATTTTAAAATTGATATACTCCACAATCTTCTCATGTAGAACTGATATAATCTTCGTTACAAAAATGGTTCATATATATCTTTACCGTTATAAAAATGACTCATATGAAATATGAACGGATTGAATTATCCCATTTTATGTTGACCCATTTCAACTCCACCCAAATTTGACTTAATCCATCCATTAGTCACCACAATATTTATATTAGGACATACAGAAATGTTATGATAACGATATCATAAAATAGGTATTTTTTGTTATATCATTCAATTGTTGAGATGATTAAATTTGTATGTCTCAATCTCTCTCTCATTTTTTATCCATTAACTAACAATAGAGATACTTTTGGATCAAATTATTGATGATAGGAACATTTTTAGACTAAATTATTGACTTTTTAATATTTTGAACTCTTTTTTAATATATAAAGAGATATTATTTTAAAGAAAGTTGAAGAAAATTCAACCAATAATGGTGAAATTGAGTTGTTTTAGTGGAGAAATCTCTCAACTCTAAAATAGGATTCTGAAATTATTTGTTTGAAATAAAACTCCTGGAATTTCTTCATTTTTATCCTTTTTTTTCAAACAATAGGATTGAGATGTTTCAAAAGAAATAACTCATTTATGAATAAGAGGTTTTAAAAATTATTTGGTTTAAAGCTGGACCCACCTCCATTTTGTTTAAAATCTCATTCTTATTTTTTATGTTGAAGAAGATTTCAAAAAATTCAATTTCACAAAGTAATTTCTAAGTATTTGAAAAGGATAGTAATGGTGATTCCAAATGAATATGATAGCAGTGAGGAAAAAAATGAGGTGATTGAAGATAAGAGAGAAACGAGAAGGAAGGTTAAGAAAGAAGAAGACGAACTAGATTTTTAAAAAAGGAAAAATGAACTCACGTGTTGAATATCTATGTAATGCATTTTTTATGTTATGTCAGCAACAAGTGTTTAATAAGTACTCATTATGAACAATATAATGTTTAATAGGTATTCATTATGAATAATGTAAGTATTCAATAAGTACAAGCTTTAATTTAAATGTTCATTTGAAATGTGAGGACAAATTTAATTGAATGCCACTGCAAACCAATCTCATGCCAAAGATAATTGAATGCCACTGCAAACCAATCTCATATGACTCAAATAGTGAATTCATGACTTGTCTAACAAAGATGGATTTCCCATGACGAAGGATAAAGAGTATGACCCCAAACAAATATATTTTTAGGGCACAACATTCCAAAAGAGACCTTACCTAAAACTACAAATCAAAATTCAAAATGGACACTTTGCCAAAAAAAATAGGGATAATTGTACAGAATGGCAAACTTATAATCTAAAATAAATGGAGTAGCTACTGTTTGATTTAATTGTGCCCCGTAGCAAACGTTTGTCAGTCGCCTCTCTCCCTCCAAATTCTCGCTCGCCACTCTCCCTTTCTCGCTTGCTCCCTTTGTGCTCGCCTCTCTCGCTTTATACAACAGAATTGTATAAATTGTGTTTCTGTTTGCATAAAGCGAGAGAAAATTGTATATACACATGCAAATATATTTATATTCGTCTCATACACTTATAATTATACAATAAAAAAATATTCTCCTGCCCAGTTTTCTTTTGCCTTTCTCTCTTTCTCGCTTTGTACAAACACAAACTATACAATATAATGTAAAATTTATGTTTGTATAATATATAATTTATGTTTGTATAAAGTGAAAGAAAATTGTATATACACATGCAAATACATATATATTCGTCTTATACACTTATAATTATACAATACAAATATTCCACTGCCCAGTTTTCTTTTGCCTTTTTTTTTTTTTTTTTCGTTTTATACAAACACGTATTATACAAATATAATGTATAATTTATGTTTGTATAACGCGAAAGAGAGAGAGCGATTTTTTATATACAAATATTTTTTCAACGATTTATACAAACGAGAGGCTAACAACAATTTATACAAATGGCCTGCCAGCGAAATTATACAAATCTGAAGAGGAGCCAACAAATTATACAATTGCTTCTTTTTGTATATATGTATAGTGAAATTGACATAACTTTCAATTGTATATGTATAGAGAATCATACATATATATATTTGTTATAGAACGCAATTATGCAAACTTTGCTATAACATACAAATATGAATTTTTTGTTTGCTATATGTGAAAGTTGCTAAAAAAAAATATGTGAATCATCTCTTATATTGTTAGCCTTTATCTTCTTGGAATGTTAAACAAAAATAAATGTTTTCAGGAATTCGCCCAAAAATAAGTAAACTAAAATTTTATTCTCAGGGCATCTCCAACCCTAAATTCGATTTTACTCTGCAAATATAGAGTTTTTTATTTTTTTCAAACAATCAACTCCAACCCAATTCTCTATTTTACTCTCTAAATTTTTTTTTTCTCCCCTTAATATTATATTATTATTTCTATTTCATTCTTATTTTCCTATTTCATAATATAAATTATTTCTTTCTTTTTCCCCAAATAATCATTTTATATAATTTTCATGTGATATAATTTTTTTTTCAAATTTTTTATTTAATAGAAAACTTATTTTATTCTAAATTTCTAAATAACATAAATTGCAAGAAAATACTATATAATATACAAATTAATAGACAAATTCAAATAAAAGTGAAATACAATTACGTAAGTATTACATAAACCCTCAACTTTAAAAAAAATCACGTTGCTCCCATAAATGTTCTATTAA